CGTCACCAATCCAAGACTCAGTCCAATTGTATGGTTCTACCAGGAGAACTGTTTTGCCAGGGGTTGGTCTGTCTTAAACTAACCCCTAGGATTCACTTGTCATGAGTTAGGCTGGGGATTTGACCTGGTGAGATCTCCTGCCTGCCCATTGTGCAGTGACTAGTGTTTACATTAGGCTTGTGGCTGCTCTGATGGTGAAGTGAGCTTGTACCTACATTATCAAGTGTTCATAGCAAGTGATCAGTGTGGACTTTGGTCCCATGGATATTGGCCTCTGGTCATGAGCTGTCCCACTACTCCTTAGATTTGTAATACTGAATTGGACTGTTGATTCAGTCCCCTCATTCTCAATCCTGTTCCTGGGTCTAAGTTAATCTTCCCCAAACTCCTGCCACCTTTTTCTTTCTTCTTTTCTTTTCTGGTACGATCACAGCTCACTACAGCCTCAACCTCCCAGGTTCAAGCAATCCTCCTTCCCACCTCACCCTCCCAAGTGGCTGGGACCACAGGTGTGTACTATCACACCTGTGGGCGGCCAGCCACCCAGGTGCCATGGCAAGAGACTGAGGGCACAAGCTGTTCCAGTATAATAAAGAAAATATATAGAATAAGAATAGTTACACTAGAAATAGATTATAGATATGATTATATATGAATATCATTAATCATTAGTTTGTAGCATTACTCTTTATTCCAATATTATGATAATCTTTGTTCTACAATTATAACCTAGGAAAAACCAGGCCATACAGAGATAGGAGCTGAAGGGACACGGTGAGAAAGTGACCAGAAGACAAGAGTATAAGCCCTCTGTCACACCTGGACAAAGCCACTAGAGGGCTCCCTGGTCTAGCAGTAATGCCAGCGCCTAGGAAGGCACCTGTTACCTAGCGGTCCTTGGTCTAGTGATAGCGTCAGTGCCTGGGGAAGGCACCAGTTACTCAGCAGACTGGGAAAGGGACTCTCCCTTTCCCCGGGGGAGTTAGAGAAGACTCTGCTCCACCACCTCTTGTGGAAGGCCTGACATCAGTCAGGCCTGCCCACAGCCATCCGGAGGACTGACTATCTCCCTGTGATGCTGTGCTTCAGTGGTCATGCTCCTGGTCTGCTTTCATATTCCACCCTGTACACCTGGCTCCACCTTCTAGATAGCAGTAGCAGAATTAGTGAAAGTACTAAAGTCTTTGAAATGTATAGAAGAAATAATGGCACAAGCTGTCCTCTCTGTCTCTCTGCCTCGGCTGCCAAACAGGGAAGGGCCCCCTGTCCGGTGGACACATGACTCATGTGACCTTACCTATCATTGGAGATGGCCCACACTCCTTACCCTGCCCCCTTGTCTTGTATCCCATAAATAACAGCGCAGCCAGGCATCCAGGGCCACTACCAGTCTCTGCGCCTTGGTGGTAGTGGTCCCCCAGACCCAGCTGTCTTTTCTTCTATCTCTTTGTCTTGTGTCTTTATTTCTACGCTCTCTCGTCTCCACACATGAGGAGAAAAACCCCACAGAGCGTTAGCCACCATGCCTGGCCTCTTTTTCTAATTCAGATTTTCTGGCCACTCTCACTTCTTTGCAGAAATTCCCATTACAGTTTTTGGCCCATGAGTATATTATTTATGGTAGGGAAAACCCAAAGACATAAAATAACTGCACATACCGCCTCCCAATTAATAACATGCCTCTTGTAACTTGCCTTAATCGAGCTTATTTGTTCTTGTTTTTGAGACAGAGTATCACTCTGTCGCCCAGGCTGGAGTGCAATGGCACAATCATGGCTCACTGTAGCCTCAACTTCCTGGGGTCAGGTGATTCTCCCACCTCAGCCACCCGAGTAGCTGGGACCACAGTCTTGTGCCACCACTCCCGGCTAAGAGCCTTTTGTTAATCAGAGCTTCTCCCCACCACATTCCACCACATCTTCATCCTTTACTTTCCTTGTTTTTTAAAGTTTAATTTCTTTCTTTCTTTCTTTCTTTTTTTTTTTTTTTGGAGACAGTTTCTTTCACCCAGGCTGGAGTGAAGTGGCATGATCTCAGCTCACTGCAACCTCCTAGCCCTGGGTTCAGGCAATTCTCCTGCCTCAGCCTCCTGAGTAGGTAGACTTATACGCACCTACCTACTCAGGAGGCCACCGCCTAGCTAATTTTTGTATTTTTAGTAGAAACGGGGTTTCACCATGTTGGCCAGGCTGGTCTCGAAATCCTGACCTCAGGTGATCCATTCGCTGCGGCCTCCCAAAGTGCTGGGATTACAGGCGTGAGCCACTGGCCCAGCCGGGTTGAATTTATTTCTGATTTGCCTTCCTAATTAATACCCATTAAAGCTAGATGCTGTTATTTGAAAAATGGTCTTTTTAGCAACAATCAGAAGCTAAAAATTAAATACAATATTGCCTTTGGAAGAGGTCAATGATACAGAATAAAAATTTTAAATATATATTTAATTTTATGTAACTAAAATATTATCTAGTTTACAAATATTTCATATTTATATTCCAAATGTTACTGTATTGAATCTTTATGAATTCTAGACAGCATGGTATAATAATGTTTCAAAACATTATGATAACTATTCATGATGTAGATTTTTCCTCTGCATCCACAATCCAAGCTTACCAGTCCTAGCTCTTGTCTCACTAGGACCCAGTCCTGTACTAAAACAAATCTGAAATCTGATAAATTAATGAGAAATATTATCGGCACATTAGCCTTTTAATAGACGTCATCAATATCTTTACCTGAAGAAATAGTTGGACTGGGTGCAGTGGCTCACACCTGTAGCCCCAGCACTTTGGGAGGCCAAGGCAGGCGGATCACTTGAGGTCAGGAGTTTGAGACCAGCTTGGCCAACATGGTGAAACCTTGTCTCTACAAAAAATACAAAAATTAGCCGGGCGTGGTGGTGGGCACCTGTAGTCCCAGCTACTCGGGAGGCTGAAGCAGAAGAATTACTTGAATCCAGGAGGCAGAGGTTGCAATGAGCCAAGATCACACCACTGCACTCCAGGCTGGGCAACAGAGTGAGATTCCATCTTAAAAAAGAAAAGAAATAGTTAAGTGGTCCATTGGTTAATAGATATTGATGGAGCAAACATGATGTTCTTGTTCCAATCCGTCATGATTCTTACAATCTAGATGGGGTTGGCAAACTTTTTCTGTAAAAGGCCAGATAGTAAATATTTTATGCTTTGTGGACCATATAGGGTCTCCGTTGGATATTTTTTTTTTAATAGCATCATTTTAAAATGTTAAAACTGTTCTTACTTCCCAGACTGGATAAATGCTATATGAAATGTGAGAAGGGCAAATGAGTACCATAGTCACTAAGGGCTTTGATGACCATTGACAAATGATAAGTAAATAAATGTTTGTATAGCAAGCTAAGCATTGCAATCGGTGGGAAAGGACAAGCATCATATGGGGACCAGGAAGTAGCCAAGCTTGGTCGGAATTCATTGCTTCCTGTGAGAAAATATAAAGCTGGAAAGGATGGTGGAGAGCCCCTGTCATTGAGGAGTTAATATCCTAGAAGGGGGATGCCATATATATATAAAATATATACACACAAATGAACAAATATGGCCAAGTGGTGGCTCACTTTGGGAGGCTGAGGTGGGAGGATCACTTGAGCCCAGGAGTTCAAGGCCAACTTGGGTAATAGAGTGAGCCCTCATCTCTACAAAAAAAAAAATTTAATTAGCCAGGCATGTGGGCACATGCCTGTAGTGCCAGCTACTCAGGAAGATGAGGTGGGAGGATGGCTTGAACGTGGGAGGTTGAGGCTGCAGTGGTCCAAGATCGTGCCACTGCACTCCAGCCTGGGTGACAGGGTGAGACTCTGTCTCAAAACAAACAATGGCAACAGAAAAAAAACTATACGAGCTTGAGTTAGAAAATATAGGCCAGGTGCAGTGGCAGTGGCTGGCAGATCACTTCAGGCCAGGAGTTTGAGACCAGCCTGGCCAACATGGTGAAACCCCATCTCTACTAAAAATACAAAAATTAGCCAGGTGTGGTGGCGGGCACCTGTAATCCCAGCTACTCCAGAGGCTGAGGAAGAAGAATCGCTTGAAGCTGGGAGGCAGAGGTTGCAGTGGGCCAAGATCGTGCCACTGCACTCTAGTCTGGCTGACAGAGCAAGACTCTGTCTCAAAAAAAATAAAAAGAGTTAGAAAATATAAAATGCTTAGCCTGGCCAACGTGGTAAAACCCCGTCTCTACCAAAAAATACAAAAATTAGCCTGGCTTAGTGGTGGGTGCCTGTAGCCCTAGCTACTCAGGAGGCTGAGGTAGGAGAATTGCTTGTACCTGGGAGGTGGAGGTTGTAGTGAGCTGAGACTGTGCCACTGCACTCCAGCCTGGGCAACAAGAGTGAGACTCCGTCTTAAAAAAAAAAAAAAAAAAAATCCAGCTAGCAAATAAATAAATACATAAATCCAGGTGGCCTATGTTGACAGGTCCATCCTCCTGCCACAAACTATACCTGCATTCGTTCTCTCTGGCTTTGGGAATCTAGGGTATGAGCCAACATATATGCTTGTCTGAAGGAGCCACTTACCTCTGCATCTTTCTCACTGATTCTTAATTTATTAGCCTTATTCTGTGCACCTTAATAAAACCTCTGCTACTGTGAGGCCCTACTGGGGGCCCTTCAACAACTCTGCCCAGGCCTAGGGTCTCCTGGGGCCACAGACATTAAAAAAAACCAGAAGCAGCCAACACACCACCCTCTGGACAGCAGAGACCAGTGCAATGCATTCCTTTTATCTTTGCTCCAATCTCCTTCTGTTCCTAGTCTTTCTTCCTCTTCCCATCTCTCTTCTCTCTTCTTCCCTCATCAATTCCCCTTCCCCATCCTAGGCCTTGCTAACCCTCTGACTCCACCAGGACACTTGCCTAACAGAGTCACAACAACAGCCCAAAGAAGCACAAAGAAAGCAGGAAGGCCTCTTACCATTACCCCAACCCACCCATCTGACCACCTTCTCTGTCCCACTCAGGCCTCCTGGGATGGATGTCACCCGCCTACTCCTGGCCACCCTGCTGGTCTTCCTCTGCTTCTTCACTGCCTACAGCCACCTGCCACCTGAGGAGAGGCTCCGAGATGACAGGAGCCTGAGAAGCAACTCCTCTGTGAACCTACTGGACTTCCCTTCTGTCTCTATTGTGGGTAAGTCACCTAGCCTCCGGGCTCTGGCCCAGGAGAGGGGCTGCAGGAAATCAAGCATGCTTCCCAGGGTGCTACCAGGATCCACCGCCATGGACAGCTCCTTCTTGCTCGTTCCACGAAATAATCCTGGGAGAATAGTGTCCCTTGACTCATTTGGTTTGGGAAAGCCCTACATGCTACCAATCTAATATGCAGCTTAGCATATGGTAGAGCCTCTGAAAGGCCTGAAGTGAAGACACTTGCTAAACTTTGTTTAATGTAGCATTTCTGAAACTTAATGAATCACAGAACTCCTGTCAACAGTAACAAACTTCAGGAAATGCTCCAGAACATACGCAAGACTAGGATGGACCAGTCCTGTCATGTCAGAGTTGGAAATGATGACTCAGAGGAAAATATGAGGGGCATTGGAGATCTGGTTTGACTTCACCTGATAATAATCATAGGCATACTGTGTGGTAGGCACTGTGAGGCGAGTATGGTCTTTATTTGTATTTCACAGTTGAGGAACTTTAGGCTTAGGAGAGTTAAGTAACTAGCATGGATCACACAGTTTTTAACTGGCAAAGCCAGAATTCAAAATCAGATGCTTAACTCCAGAACCTAAGCTCAAAACTAATATCCCTTACTACCTTGCCTTTTGCTAGGAAAAGAGGATATCTGAGGCTGGGTGAGGTGGCTCATGCCTGTAATCCCAGCACTTTGGGAAGCTGAGGCATGAGGATTGTTTGAGCCTAGGAGTTCAAGACCAGACTGAGTGATATACAGAGACCCTGTCTCTACGGAAAAATTTAAAAACTAGCAAGGCATGGTGGCATGTACCTGTAATCCCAGCACTTTGGTAGGCTAAGGTGGGCAGATCTCTTGAGCTCAGGTGTTCAAGACCAGCCTGGTCAACAGGGTGAAACCCCATCTCTACTAAAAATACAAAAATTAACCAGGCATGGTGGCGTGCGCTTGTAGTCCTAGCTACTTGGGAGGCTGAGGCAGGAGAATCACTTGAGCCCAGGAGTTTGAGCCTACAATGATTTTGAGCCATGATTGTGCCACTGCACTCCAGCCTGGGTGACAGAGTGAGACCCTGTCTCAAAAACAAGCAAACAAAAACTAGACGGGAATGGTGGTGTATGCCTATGGTTCCAGCTATTTGGGAGGCTGAGGCAGGAGGATTGCTTGAGCTCAGGAGGTTGAGACTGTAGTGAGCTGTGATCACACCATTGCACTCCAGCCTGGGTGACAGAGAGACCCTGTCTCAAAAAAGAAATTTTTTAATAAATAAATAAATAAATAATCGGCCAGTCACGGTAGTTCACACCTATAATCCCAGCACTTTGGGAGGCCGAGGTGGGCAGATCACCTGAGGTCAAGAGTTTGAAACCAGCCTGGCCAACATGGCAAAACCCCATCTCTACTAAAAATACAAAAATTAGCCAGGCGTGGTGGTGCACACCTATAATCCCAGCTACTTGGGAGGCTGAGGCAGGAGAATCACTTGAACTCAGGAGACAGAGGTTATAGTGAGCTGAGATTGCACCACTGCACTCCAGCCTGGGTGACAGAGTGAGATTCTGTCTCAAAAGAAAAAAAAAAAGAAGAAGAAGAAGAAAAAGAAAGAAAAGAGGATATTCTACACATATCAGACAGGGAAGTGGAGGAACATCAACATTTATTTCTCTTCAGTGTAACAGACTTTTCACTTTATAAGCAGACTTCATTTATCCTCAAGACAATACTGCAAGGTAGATATTATGGAATCTTTTGTGCAGATGAAAAAACTGAGTCTCATGGAAGATAAGTAAGTTACCCACAGCCACACAGTCATTATATTGGCAGAGTCAGGATTCAAATCAGGTCCTCCTGGCTCCAAAGCTCTGAGGAATGGAAAATAGGAAACACAGGTGCATCTGTGTGCAAGACGGGAGTCCATTTTCTGAGTATCACAATGTTCCTGCACCTGCCACAATGGAGATGAAGGAAGAGGCACTTGGGGTGACTCTGAGTGGCCCAAGCTCACCTAGGTCGAGGGACCAGGCCCCACAAGAGCACCACAGGCAGATCCCAGTGCCTGCTTGGACATCCCATTTGCCTTCCCTCAGAGGACACGTTGCTATCAGTGCCTGGCTCCAGGTCACCATCCGGGCTGACAAGAACCTACTGGCTTGAGTCCTACAGTGTGATTCATCCGGCACGCTGCTTCTCCTCTCCCCCACCTGGCAACTTCCCGAGCCCCTCTGTCCCTCTCACTTCACTGCAACTCAACGTCCTCAGAAACATCTGACTCTCCTCCTTTTGTCTCTCTTTGAAGCACTGAACAAGAAATCCAAACAGATCAGCAGAAAAGAAGCAGAAAAGAAGAGATCTTCTAAGGTAAGGGCAGGGAAGTTCTGGGAGTTCTCACTGTTGGGGTGAGACTGGACTTACAGAAGGAGGACCCCCAAGCTCTGGCTGGGAACTAAATTAGAGATTTTTCAGGCCTATATTAACAAAAGAAACTGAAAGCTACTAAAGACTTCCTGGCTTCAGCTCTGAGCCAGACACCCACAAAAGCCCAGGGAGCTGAAGTCCACTGAGCAAAATAGATTATGAAAAGCAGCTTCCTCTTCTAGTTAGCCCCTGCCTGAAATTTCACCATCACTCATACTTTTGGATGAATGTGGTGTTTTCGAAACCTCATTTCAGAACCACATTTACAACTTTTGCCACATCTGAGTTCCACCTATTTATTTAACATATTTACTTAAAATTAAAACTTAGGCCGGATGCGGTAGCTCACGCCTGTAATCCCAGCACTTTGGGAGGCCAAGATGGGCAGATCAGCTGAGGTCAGGAGTTTGAGACTAGCCTGGCCAACATGGCGAAACCCCGTCTCTACTAAAAATACAAAAATTAGCCAGGCGTGGTGGTGGGTACCTGTAATCCCAGCTACTTGGGAGGCTGAGGCAGGAGAATTGCTTGTACCCGGGAGATTGAGGTTGCAGTGAGCCTGAGCCATTGCACTCCAGCCTGGGTGACAAGAGTGAAACTCTGTCTCAAAACAACAACAAAAAAAATTAAAACTTAAAAAATACAATTGACTCTTGAACAACATGGGTTTGAACTCATGGGTCCACTTATACATTGATTATTTTATTTATTTTCTCTTTTTTTTTTTTTTTTTTGAGATGGAGTCTCGCTCTGTCACCCAGGCTGGAGTGCGGTGGCGCGATCCCAGCTCACTGTAGGCTCCGCCTCCCAGGTTCACGCCATTCTCCTGCCTCAGCCTCCCAGATGCCCACCATCACGCCTGGATAATTTTTTATATATTTAGTAGAGATGGGGTTTCACCATGTTAGCCAGGATGGTCTCAATCTCCTGACCTTGTGATCTGCCCGCCTCAGTCTCCCAGAGTGCTGGGATTACAGGCGTGAGCCACTGTGCCCAGCCTTTTTTTTTTTTTTTTTTTTTTTGAGATGGAGTTTTCAGTTTTCACTCTTGTTGCCCAGGCCAGAGTTCGGTAGCGTGATCTTGGCTCACTGCAACCCTCACCTGGCGAGTTCAAGCAATTATCATGCCTCAGTCTCTCGAGTAGCTGGGATTATAGGCACATGCCACCATGCCCAGCTAATGTTTTTGTATTTTTGGTAGAGATGGGGTTTTGCCAAGTTTGCCAGGCTGGTCTCAAACTCCTGACCTCAGGTGATCTGCCTGCCTCAGCCTACCAAAGTGCTAGGATTACAGGGGTGAGCCACCATGCCCAGCTGATTTTTTAAATCGGAAAAAATTTTTTAAAGACTGACAATTAGGAAAAAACAGGTGAATCTTGTTACCTAGAAATATTTTTTAAAATGAAAAAAAGTATGTCATTAATGCATAAAATATATGTAGATACTAGTCTGTTTTACCACTTGCTACCATAAAATATACATAAATCTATTATAAAAAATTAAAATTGCCCAAAACATATACAACACACAGACAGTACATGATGCCATTCAAAATAGAAATATAACTAAATGTAAAGATGCAGTATTAAACCATAACTGCATAAACAACTGTAGTACATACTGTACTACCATCATAATTGTGAAGCTACCTCCTGTTGCCACTGCAGCGTGCTCTGGTGTTGTGAGTACATGCTTAAAACGCTCTGTGAGCTAATCATCTCTGCACAAGGAGTCTCACCAGTAAATCACACATTGCAGTAAAATGTGATCCCTCAAGGTTCTCGTGTATTTTTCAATGTGTTTAATGCAATATTGTAAGCCTTGAGTAGTACCAAGGGCCCATACTAGGTGCTACTAGTGATTCTGGAAGTGTTCCCAAGAAGCAGAGAAGAGTCATGACATTACAAGAAAAAGTTGCTTGAATTGCTTGATTCAAGCAAAAAGGCAGATTAGAAAGTGTTAGAACAGCACTAAGGACACGTTAGCACCAAATTAGCCCTTTCAAATTGAAAAAGATTGAAAAAAGAATCCTTTCTCATTGTATAGTAGGTGGTACCACAGGTGGAGCTCTGCAGCTTCGGTTGCTTACTATTTCAGACAGACAATACATCTTGTAAACAGATGAAGTAAACTTATGGTATCAATAAATACAGTATGGTACTGTAAATGTATTTTTACTTCCTTATGTTTTCTTTTCTTATAATCAATCTCTACTTATCCAATAATTTTCGTAATAATATTTTCTTTTCCCTAGCTTACTTGCTTTTTTTTTTTTTTTTAAAAATGGGGTGTCGCGCTGTCACTCAGGCTGGAGTGCAGTGGCACCATTTCGGTTCATTGCAACCTCAACCTCCCAGGCTCAAGTGATCCTCCTGCCTCAGCTCCGCAAGCAGCTAGGACTATGGGTGTGTACCCCATGCCTGGCAGATATTTGGATTTTTAGTAGAGACGAGGTTTTGCCGTGTTACCCAGGCTGGTCTTGAACTCCTGAGCTCAGGCAATCTGCTGCTTCTGCCTCCTAAACTGCTGGGATTATGTGCATGAGCCACCATGCCCAGTTTACTTAATTATAAGAGTACAGTATATAATACATATAACATAAAAAGATGCGTTAATCCACAGTTTATGTTATCAGTAAGGCTTTCTTCTGGCCAACAGTAGGCTATTAGTAGTTAAGTTTTTGGGGAGTCAAAAATACCATGAAGGCCAGGCACGGTGGCTCACACCTGTAATTCCAGCACTTTGGGAGGCTGAGGCAGGCAGATCAGTTGAGTCCAGGAATTCAAGACCAGCCTGAGCAACATGATGAAAACCTCATCTCTACAAAAAATTTTCAAAAATTAACTGGGGTGTGGTGGTGTGCTCCTGTAGCCCCAGATGCTCAGGAGGCTGAGGTAGGAGATTCGCTTGAGCCTGGGATATCAAGGCTACAGTGACTTGTGATCTTACCACTGCACTCCAGCCTGGACAACAGAATAAGACCCTGTCTCAAAGAAAAAAGGATTTTTGACTGTGTATAAAGAGTTTGTGCCCCTAACCCCTGCATTGTTCAAGGGTCAATTGTATATAATTATGATAGAAAACTAGTATCACTTGCCATAAATAGAAGGTAACTATAAAAATATGTAAAGTTGGCCAGGCACGGTGGCTCACACTTGTAATCCCAGCACTTTGGGAGGCCAAGGAGGGTGGATCACCTCAGGTCAGGAATTTAAGACCAGTCTGACCAACATGGTGAAATCCCATCTCCACTAAAAATACAAAAATTAGTTGGGCATGGTGGTACGCGCCTGTAATTCCAGCTACTCAGGAGGCTGAGGCAGGAGAATCACTTGAACCTGGGAGGCGGAGGTTGTAGTGAGCCAAGATCACTCCAGCCTGGGCGACAGAGCGAGACTCCATCTCAAAAAAAAAAAAAAAAAGAAAAACGAAGAAAAAAAAAGGAAAAAAAAAAAAGGGGGAAAGTTAAACATTGTTAGTGAATTCTGGATGAATAGATGGTATTGCCTACCAAGGGCTCTAAATTTGAGGCCTAAATCTCTGTGTTAAAAGGCAGATTAGGCCAGGCACGGTGGCTTGCACCTGTAATCCCAGCACTTTGGGAGGCTGAGGCAGGCAGATCACCTGAGGTTAAGAGTTGCAGACCAGCCTGGTCAACATGGTGAAACCCTGTCTCTACTAAAAATACAAAAATCAGCCGGGCATGGTGGTGCACACCTGTAATCACAGCTGCCCAGAAGGCTGAAGCAGGAGAATCACTGGAACCGGGGAGGTAAAGGTTGCAGTGAGCCGAGATGACACCACTACACTCCAGCCTGGGTGACAGAGCAAGACTCCATCTCAAAAAAAAAAAAAAAAAAAAGGCAGATTAGAAAGTGTTAGAACGGCACTAAGGACATGTTAGCACCAAATTAGCCCTTTCAAATTGAAAAAGATTGAAGAAAGAATGCTTTCTCATTGTATAATTCAGGGTCGTTTAACATTAACGTTCCACCTAAAATCATACCACCGTTAACACAGGTTCCCACTTTGGGAAACACTGGACTGAGGCATTGCTGAAATGCACACCTTATTCCTGTCTTAGTGTGCCTCAGTTTATCATATCAACTGTAACCAGGGCGAGGAGCACTGGATTAGGTATCAGGAGGCAGGATCTGGTACTGTGTGATCTTGGAAGTCCCTGCTCTTCTCTAGGCCTATTTTGTTGGCTGTAAAGTGAACAAGCAAGATGAGATTATTGACAGATAAAAATATATAACTGACAAATATATTTATATGCTAAGCACTGGGAACATAGCAGTGAAAAAGAAAGATATATCCTATCCCTGCTCTCATGGAGTTTACATTCTTGTCGACAAAACAGGTGAACAGCAAGTAAATCAATAAATAGGTAAATAAATTCAGATGCGGTGGCTCAAGCCTGTAATCCCAGCACTTTGGGAGGCCGAGACGGGCGGATCACGAGGTCAGGAGATCGAGACCATCCTGGTTAACATGGTGAAAACACAAAGGCTGAAATAAACAGAGAAACACTGAGACAGGAGAATGGCGACTGAACACACGGGGAGGCGGCAACCATTGCAGTGACCGAATGCGCGCACTGTGACTAACACCAGCGCTGGGTGACGGAGCAAGAGTACCCCATCTCTCAAAAAGAAAAAAAAAAATTAAGACAAAAGCAAATGTGAGTGGTGAGCTTACATAATAAGTTTTAAACTCTTGCTTATAGAACGACTTGTTTTTTTTCTTTTTGATTGTAGACGGCAGTATTTTAGCTTCTGTTGCCGGGCAGGCTGGAGTGCATGAGCACAAATCTCCGGACTCAACTCAGGCAGGCACCACACCGCTCCGCCTCCCGGAGTTAAGCAGTTCTCCTAGCCTCAGGTATCCCGAGTAGGATGGTGATTACAGCGCAAGTAGCCACACGACAGGACATAATTCTTGTAAATCTCTTTAGTACGAGATGGGTTTCTCCCAATGATCCGTCAGGCGTGGTCCCGGAAACTCCCCGACTCATGGTGATAGCATCTGCTTCGGTCTCCCGCAAAGTTGCTGGGAGTTGACCAGGACATGAAGTCACCACAACCCCGAGTTGACAACCACATTATACTTAAAAAAAAAAAAAACAAAAC